ACGGCGTGGGGGATGCACGCACGGCCATGACGGGGCAGCACCACGCCCGCATCTAAACTCGTGTCCGTTCGTGAGAGAGATGGTCATGGCTGAGAAACCAAAAGCGCCCGTGAAAGTGGGCTTTTATGACATCGAGAAGACCATTGGCAAAGGAAACTTTGCCGTTGTGAAGTTGGCAAGGCACCGAATCACCAAAACGGAGGTTAGTAACTTTTGTGAAGGCCCTTCCGGCACTATGTTGGCTCTCCTGGCCTTGGTATAGGATGTGGCTCTCTCTCTCTCTGTGGCACCACCAGGTACCCCTCGGCCGCCCAGGAGGGCCAGGAGGGGGGAGGGGTCAGGGATCTGCGAGGCCCTTCGTGGTGCTGGGTAACAGGCACGCACCTTTACTCCGTGACCTTGTCCTTGGCACCGTCCATGGCACTCCTGACCTTGTGCCTCTCACCGGCCGTGCAAGATGCGGCATCCGAACTGGCCGGATAAGCGGCGCGGGAGGCGGGGGACGAGCGGCCGAGATAGCGAAAGGCAGAACGGAGACGAACCAGAGGAAATGGAAGGAGAAAAAGCATGACCGCTCAAGAGTCGCAAGTGTGCCAGGTAGTGTGTGGAAAGGCCTGTGTGAAATTGTCGTGACGTGAACCGTTTCGCGAGAAGAACAAATCGCGGCGGCGACAGTGGAAGTGTGGCGGCGGTGGTGGTGCCTCGACCTTTTAACTGTTTTGTCTGGCTCGGTTCTCTCGCATTTCTTCTGCTCTCTTTCATTAAATATCGACGCTACGCGGCCATTCCTTCTCATTCCCGCTCCTCCTCTCCTCGCCAGTTTCCCTTCTCCTCCTCCATCACGCGGTTTATTTGTTTTTGTCCTTGTGTCAGCCGTGCTTGCTTGCTCTGCCTCCCAGTCCCGCGTGTGATTGCTTTTCTTGCGGCCAGTCCCTGCCTGTGCGTTTCTGCCTGTGTGTGAAAGACAGGCGGGACGCAGACAGGCAGACATATAGATAGACAGATATACAGACAAACAGATAGATAGATAGATAGATTGACTGATTGATTGACAGCCAGACACAGTCAGCCAGACAGACAGACAGACAAAACATACGAAGAAAGAAACCCTCCAAAAGTAGCTTATCCCGACGCCACATTCACAAAACCAAAAAGTGTCAAGTACGTGTTCCACCGCCTCACCCCATTAGAACGCCAACCCCTTATGTTTCGCTGTTGCTTCGCGCTTGACCAATTCCTTCCTTCCTTCCCCTATGAACAGCTGATCGGCGAAAATCAACCCCCATTGCTGTGATAACGGTGCTCCTCTCCCCTCCTCCCCTCCTCCCCCTCCCTTTCCTTCCACGCTTCTGTTAGGCAAGTTAGCTGTGTATAACCTGCCAAAGCGTGATCTAGACGGCTGGGTTATATGCTATTATTAAAACCTGTTGCCCCTTTTCCCCTGTGTGTTGTGATCCGATATCTTTATTTCTTCTCTTCCTTTTGCTTCGTTGCCTGCCTGCCTGTGATTACTTTTGTAACTGATGTTTATGAGTTTTGTGGTTTAATTATGAGCCGTAAAGACCCTATCATATTTCACGTTTTTGTTGTTGTTGTTGTTGTTGTTTTATCTCCTTGATCACTTTTCCAACGACGCTTTTTTTACTCTTATCAAAGAAGAAGTAGTGTTTAACTAGGCCTATCTCAATCCAATACGTTCAAGTGATTTCGGAAAGGAAGAACGACAAGAAAGAAGGAAAAAGAACGAAAAGGAAGACGCAAAGAACGAAAGAAAAAGAGAGAAAAGGTTGTGGTGGGTTTTCTTTAGTAGATTCTTAAAACAGTTTACGTTTTTGGCCTTGATAATTGGAGCGGGACGAGATTGGGCTAGACTGGGTGGTGTCTTTCACGCTGGGAGAGAGAGAGAGAGAGAGAGAGAGAGAGAAAGACCTTGTGTTTACGTTCTCCTCCTTAGCTCTCCTCTGTCTGTCTGTCTGTTTTCTCTGTCTGACTGTGCAGTCTGTGGAGCGGTTTGTTTGTACTGGTGTTATTCCCTCTTTCTTGTTTTTTTATGTTATTTTCTAACTCTTGTTCTCTCTCTCTCACTTTCCCCCTAGCTCTTATTCTCTCTCTCTCTCCTAACCTCCCTACCTCTCCCACTCCACCTCCCTCTCTCCCTCCTTCCTCCCTCTCCCTCCCCCTCCCATCCCATCCCATCCCCCCTCCCCCCCCCCTCCCCCCCCCCCTCCCTCCTTCCCTCCTTCCTCTCCCCCCCTTTCTCTTTTTCTCTCCATATCACCCTCTCTTTATTTTTTTGTTCTTACTCTCCCTTCTTTGCACGTCTTCCGCCAAGCATCCGTGTTGAGAAATCGCCCGCGTTAGCGTGACAGAAAAGCTTAGCAGTTGCAGGCGACTTCAAACGGGCTTTAGACGGGCCGATTGAGCGTGAGAGAGCGAGTGGAGCAAAGACTGGGGCGGGTGGAGCGAGACACGGTCCCCTCCCGCCCCTCAACCCCAATCCCTGCCTCCTCAACATCTCCACTCCCCTCCCCTTCCCTCACCTTTCTTTCATTGCCTTTTCCGTTCCCTTTCCGCCCCCCCTGTCCCTGCATATCTCCCCCCTTCCCTTTTGCTCATTTACTCTCCCTCCTCCTTTCCTTCCCTTTCCTTTCCCCTTTTCCTCCCCTCTCACTTCCCCCTTCCCTTTCCATTCCCTTTCCTTCCCCCCTCCCTACCACCCTACCCCTCCTCCCCTCAGTCCTTGCCCTTCCCTCCTCCTCCCCTTCCCTACTCTTATATCCCTTTTCCTTTCCCTTCCTCCTACCCTCTCGCCTTCCCCTTTACCTTTTCCCTTCCCTCACTCCTTAGAACTCCTCTTCCCTCCTCCTCCCTTCCCTACACGCGCTCCCCTTGTCCCCCTCCCTCCCTCCTCCTTCCACTTCCTCCCTCTCCCTCCCTCTCCACCTTCCCTTCCCTCCCTCGCCTCCCTCCCCTTCCTTCCCTCCCCTCCCGCTTCCCTTCCCCTTACCTCTCCCCTCCCCTCCTCCCCTTCCCCCTTCTCTTCCTTCCCTTCCTTCCCTAGCCCTCCCCTTCCCTTCCTTCCTTTCCCTCCCCCCTTCCCTCCCTTTCCCTTCCCTTCCTCGCAACGCAACCTCACCACTCAATACTTTATCTGCCACGTTCGATAGCCTTCTAGGCTCGGAGTGCATTCACGATCGATTTCACGACACACACACACTTGCAAGCACCCACGCACGCACGCACGCACGCACGCACACCACCGACCGACACACACAAACGACTACACCACACACACACACACACACACACACACACACACACACACACACTACCACGCACGCACGCACGCACACACGCACGCACGCAACGCACGCACGCACGCACGCACACGCACACGCACACACACACACACACACACACACACACAACACACACACACACACACACACACACACACACACACACACACACACACACACACACACACACGCGCGAAATACCCCGCGCACGTAAATAGCTACACACATTACATGCACATACAAATTCATGCACATACACATGCATATACACATACACGTATACGTACCGGTACACGTACACATTAATATGCACATACTCGCACGCATCACGTACACATACTCGTACATATATACATATGCGTACACATACAGATACACACGCATACGCACACGCACACGCCACACGCGCGCGCGCGCGCGCACACACACACACACACCACACACACACACACACACACACACAACACACACACACACACACACACACACACACACACACACACACAATGTATATATACTAGGATATATGCCCGTTGAAGTAGGTCTTCAGAGTAGATGATGAACCGGAGATGCCTGGAGTCAGCTGATGGGGTGACCACTTCAGGAGCGAATGAAAGGGAGAGGGAGAGGGAGAGGGAGAGGAGAGGGAGAGGGAGAGGGAGAGGGAGAGGGGAGGAGAGGGAGAGGGAGAGGGAGGGAGAGGAGAGGGAGAGAGAGAGAGAGAGAGAGAGAGAGAGAGAGAGAGAGAGAGAGAGAGAGAGAGAGAGAGAGAGAGAGAGAGAGAGAGAGAGAGAGAGAGAGAGAGAGAGAGAGGAATGGGGAGAGATGGAATGGATGAAGGAGGGAGGGAAGAGGAGGAAAAGGTATGGAGTAAGAGGGAAAGGGGAAAGGAGGAAGAGGAGGGATGGGGAGAGAGGAATGCAGAAAGAGGGAAGAGAAGAGGAATAGAGAATGGATTAGGGAGAGGAATGGAGAAAGAGTAAATGGGAGAGGAAGAAGAGAAGATGAATGAAGAAAGAGCAAATGGGAGAGGAGGAAGAGAAAGTGAAAAGGCAGAAGAGGAAGAAATGGAGAAAGAGCAAATGGGTGAGGAGGAAGGGAAGAAAAATGGAGAAAGGGGAAAGACGGAAGAGGAAGAGGAGATAGATGGAGAAAATGGAAAGGCGGAAGAGGAATGGAGAAAGAGGAAAGGGAGATAAATGGAGAAATGGAAAGACGGAAGAGGAATAGAGAAAGAGGAAGGAGAGATAAATGGAGGAAATGGAAAGGCGGAAGAGGGAGGAAGAGGAAGTGAAGGTTCATGCAAAGAAGGGAAGAGGAGGGTCATCAAGTCGATCGGGTTAACGGCTTTGCTTATGGGAGGTACTCGAGGAGAGGGAGGGAAGGAGAGGGAGAGGAAAGGAGGGAGGAAGGAAGGAAGAAAAATATGTACAGAGAAAGAGTGAATGAGTTGGAGGAAGGAAGGAAGGAAGAAAATATGTAGAGGAAGGAAAGAAGGAAGGAAGAAAGAATAACGTACAGAGGAAGACTGAATGATTTGGAGGAAGGAAGAAAGGAGAACATGTACAGAGAAAGAGTGAATGATTTGGAGGAAGGAAAGAAGGAAGGAAGAAAGAATAACTTGTAGAGAGAAAGAGTGAATGATTTGGAGGAAGGAAGCAAGAAAAAAATGTAGAGAGAAAGAGTGAATGATTTGGAGGAAGGAAGCAAGAAAATATATACAGAGAAAGAGTGAATAATTTGGAGGAAGCAAGATATGTAGAGAGAAAGAGTGAATAATTTGGAGGCGAAAGCAAGCGAGAGGGAAGGAGGAAGGAGGAAGCTTCGAGAAACGCACCACGTGGAGGAGGCGCTTCCTCGAGGCGCTCTAGGCCTAGACATTCCGAAGGAGGGCCGAAGGAGG